CTTTGTGCTGCCTTTGAACCCTCCTGATCATAGAGGCTCCCATTGGTTTAGCAGGCTGTCCGTTCTTCCCGACTACATACCATTTTCGCCCGAGGTGGGCAGGATTTCCTTTTCTACTAGGATTGATCATGTTATCAATCTTCTTGATTTCCCTCCCCCTCTGGCCACATTGAGGATGATCTGCATTCCGTCGTATTTTGGCTTCCATGTCTTCCGCTTCATCAGAAACCTCATGGTTTCGAAATACCTCTGACAAAGCTTTGGGTTGGGAATCACCTCCTAGTCGTTGAAAGACGCTTCGGGAAGTGTCTTTTTTCGTTGCCTGCTTAATCTTTTCGCGGGCTTCTCTTCTGACGTCTTCTTCATTTCTCCTGATTAATTCACGGTCAATGAGTACTCCAGCCGGGGGAATTTCAAGCTCACACTCACACTGGCACTTACTGCACATGACCATCCCCTTGATTATGGCTGCTTTTGGATATTCGGGTGTTTTAATCACCCCTCCTGTAGGTTTTTCAGCCAATCTCTTCTCTTCTGGTTCCTTTGTAATTCTTTCTTTTCCTTTCTCAGCCCATGTCATATTGATCATATTTACAGGGACTTCTGAAAAGGGAACTGCAGGTTTGTCTACCACCAGCTTTTCAGGCGGGCTGGTTTTAAGTCTCTTTCCCTCGGGAGGGACCAGGTCTGTTTCTTCTCTGAAGCCTGTGGAAGCTTTCTCCAACCTTTGCAACATTTGTAGTAACTTAGTTTGTAAACCTTCTGGCATCTTGACATATATCTTCTGATCAAGGGGTCCCACTGGGCGTGCCAAAACTATGTTCGTGGCAGGAATTTCCATCGGGGATGTTTCCTGGCCGACGAGCACACAGCTCCCCTGGAGGTTGGCGCCGGTTGAGGGCTGCTGTCGGGCTTCTACTTTGCTGTCGGGCGTTGTCGGGCAAGTCTCGTCGGGCAAGACTCTTCGGGCAAGACTCTTCGGGCAAGGCTGAAAGAGAAAGACAACGTTAACTTTGAGAGGTGCCTTTGTGGGGCCTTAGGTGTAGGCCTTGAGGCTCACAATCAAGGTTAACATTTAGGTGCTCAGGCGTGCCACTGCCATCTTTAGCATGGCAGATGTAAAATAACAGTCGTGCTTTAGTTGTATGTATGTATGTATCCAAGAAACCTTGTTAGTTATAACAATTGCCTTTGTGGGGCTTTAGGTGTAGGCCTTGAGGCTTCCCATAAATAACTAAACCAGTGCTCGAACGCATCATATTCATTCTCGTGATTGTAGGAGTTTTCTAACTATTATACTTCTGATTACCCGAATCCAAGAAGTAGGATGAACCCAAATAGGTGCCTTTGTGGGGCCTTAGGTGTAGGCCTTGAGGCTTCCCATCAGAGTTCATTCTTATAATTAGACTCTTTAGGTCGCTGAACGGAATGAATCCAAATGGATGCCTTTGTGGGGCCTTAGGTGTAGGCCTTGAGGCTTTCCATTAGAATCCATCCATGCTCAAGTGTTCTATGATAATCATGGCATAATAGAAAGAAAACTAGAAGGTAGGTTGATTACTTGCGCCCCAAGTAACTTCGGACTTCTCGTTTATCAAGGACTGTCATGGATGGGTTAAGTCCACATAAGGTTCTTTTTTATGCCTTGAGGCCAAGGACTTTTAACTGATCAGATTTACATGCCCGAGGGCTTAGGACTTAGATCTGGTTTGAACACTGACGATATATTCAAATCGGATTCAAGTACTGAGAAAGCCTCTTAATAATCATGTTGCTAGAAATAACTTGCATATAACTGGAAGTATACAACATATTGAAAAGACAAAACTAAAGCAAAGAAGGTCGGGCAAGGTTAAACCTTATCGGGTAAGGTTGCTCGTCTTGCAGGTCCCTATCTTTGTAGTTTTGTCAAAGGTCTGAAAGCTTAGAGGGGTAGAGAGAGAGATTACAAAAGATGAATCGATACTACAGCAAGGTTGAACAAGGTAGCAGAGCTATTACAAAAGGTTGAAGAGAGGGTTATCCCGAAAGGGATGGAGGTTTATCCCGAAAGGGATGAAGGCTAACTACAGCTTTGTTTTGAAGGCAGATCTGGCTTTGAGCAGAGTTTGTGCTTGCATTTGTTTGTTTGATTGAGTGTCCTTAATCCTTGATTTTCTTTCTTTTTATATAGACAACTCGGCTTGGCCTTTGGTAGCAGCAGCTTTGCCCGAATGCGGTTTGAGGGTGATGACTCATCAGCTATTTTACATGTTATGCCACCATAAAGTACTTTATGGGCTGTGTAGCTGACCAGCCTACACCACTTGGCCTTTGGGTAGGTAAGCAAGTGGTCTTCATGAGCTGCATCAAGTCAGAAAAGGCCTTCTCCTGCCTTCTGGGCTTCGACTGGGCTTCGGCTATCTTCCTTTTCGGGCCTCCTTTTGGGCCAACTCCTTTCTTGAGCCCAAAGTTCAAGTTTTGATCCAAACAGGTGTGTTAATAGAAGACTCTATAGCTCTTGATGCAAATGAGGTTGCCAATCGTTTTACTTGCTTTGGGTTGTCCGGTGTTACAGAGGATTTGGTTTGAGGAACCACCAAACTTTCTTATTCAGCTTTATTTGAGGAATGTAACTACTTCAATATAATTCACAGGGTTTCTTGGTTCACTTCAACGGAACCGCTCTATCAGGGCCCTATCCTTTTTCAATTTCTTTGAGCACATGACGAGGTCGGTTACTTGTGCACTAAGTCATAGTTTGGGTTCTCATATGTAGTCTGTCTTGCTTAATTTTCTATGTTTCAGCCCTTATTTTCTCTCTTCCACTAGTGACCTCTCATGTCATTAGTATATTACTTTTTTAAGAAAACCTCGATAGTACAAGCTAGGAGGTGTTTATCATTAGTATATAATATATATATATATATATATATATATATATATATATATATAAAATTATGAAATGTTCCATTTACGTATATTTCCATATGGGAAAATTGGAGCAATAATATTTTGAGCTTTGGCCCAATTAATACCCAAGTTTGTTTTTATGTGGAACAATGTGTCATTTTGAATAATTCTGTTAGAAATTTCATTCAAAATAAAGAGTTTAAAGGGACAACAAATAGATGGAAGTTCTAACTAAATTAGAACAAAGCATATATATCAAATGTTATTACTACCAGTTTTGAATTTGATTCACCTTTTTGTAATTTTAGCAATCAATAGCATTTCCCCCTAATAAAAATAACGTGCATTTCGTTCACCAAATAAACATGTGGAGTTTCCCAAACAAAAAAAAGTGGATGTCCTTGAAAATAGAGAATTTTGTGGCTTGTATCTTGTCGTTCACTGAGATCAAACAATGGAGCTTCTCAAAGAAGGATGAGGATCCTCTCCTGAGCTAAGGATGAGGATCCTCCTCATCAATCAGTGTGGACCGTTGGATGAAAATTCAACGACTACAAACAGAAAGGTTTCTTTAAAATTATAATAATTGTAACCGTTTGATTTTCATTCAACGACCTACATCTCTTGATAAGGAGGATCCTCATCCTTAGCTCATGAGAGGATCCTGGTCCCTCAAACAATACCATCTCCCATCAAAAGCTGTCAAATAAAATTGGTAAAATTATTAATTGAGAAACAGACAGACCCTTGCATGAATTATCATTTTCATTAAAAAAGAATGAAAAGACTGATTTGTCGTTTAACTCCTCAGGCCAGCTTCTCTGTCACTTATGATAATAACTAGCGTTCATGCGCGTACTTACGTGCTTTCAGAAAATATTTTTTGAATCATAACATGTTATATGTGATTTATACTTTTTAAATATATTTATATGAATAAATTGATAAAAGGAAAGTTAAATATTTGAAGTAAAAGAATAATTTTAGATCATACTAGAAAAAATCCCTAATAAACCAATTAAAGCAGCCGAATTTAGATAATAAAATCGATCTTTATAGAATTTACATTAAGAATAGAGAAAATAATATTTAATAAACGATTGATTAAATCACATTATTGCTAACTCATTGTGAGGCTAAGCCCACACCCTCCCTCTTAGTGTAGATAATATCGTTTGTAAAAAAAAAACAATCATTTGACTATTAATTTAATCATATTACTATCCGCGTACAGAAGCCTTTTTTTATAACCCGCATTACACGCCTCTTAAGATGTTTTGAACGTGTTTGAAAATAGAGAAAATAATATTTAATAAACAACTGATTGAATCACATTATTGCTAGCCCATTATGAGGCTAAGCCCACCCCCTAATGTAGATAATATCGTTTGTTAAAAAAATAAACATTTGACAATTAATTTAATCACATTATTATACGTGTGCGAGAGGCTTTTTTTATAACTGACACTACGCACCTCTTAAGTGTTTAAAAATTGAGAAATAATATTTAATAAACAGCCGCTTGCAAAAGGTATTTTTTGAATCACAACGCGTTACGAGCGACTTAGACATTTTAAATGTATTTATATGCGTGAATTGCCTCAATATTTTTTTATTTCATTATTTTCTTTTTTTTACCACCGGCGCGTAATGCTTCTTAAAATGTTTTGAACACAGCATTCATGATTTTTCTTATTTTTTATTTTATTTTTCTTCCCCATCATGTGGGCACCATCAACTTTGTCATTTGTTTATTCTTTTCTCTTCCTATTTATATTTATAATATTTTATGATGATCAAATTACCAACTTACCCTTGCATGATTTGATATATTATTTTGGACAAATTTTGATTTTTTTTGGTTGAGGGGCAGTTTGGTCCAATTACTTATTGTCGAAGCCCTGGACACCAAAATGGAGCTCTGGCTTTATATATAAGAGATATATAGAAGAAAATTCAGTTCTTTGTTTGTGTTGGTGATAATATCATGCAAAAAAAAATATATATATATGTATGCTTGCATCAATTATCTCTTGGTATTTTTTAGTCTTTCAGATTTTTAAATCGCTCGATCGATCCAAGAGGTTTTGGTTTGAGCAAGTTAGATCTTCTTGGGGGTAAGCTATCTCTCCATCCATGGCAGCAGCAGAAGGTGGTTAGAATGGTGGGTTACATTCACTGTGACTGGTTTTCTTGTTGTAACTTCAGTAACTGCAGCTTCTTCAGCACCACAAGAAACCTTGGAACAAGAGCATCAGCATGCTTCCATTTACATTAACGGGAGCCAAACGTTTCAGTCTCACAATTTTGAGACCAGAATGTTAAACTTTTTGTGGCAACTTGGTCGGTTATTCAGTTATGAGCATGTTTGGCCTGTAAGTGTCACATTTCATTCCCTAATTCTCTTTTTCTTCTGTTACTCCCTTGTTCTCTGGTGATTTTTCAAACTATATTTTGTAATTTATTTTTTCATATAAAAAGTGTTTTGGGCTCTGACAAATGAGCCTACGGAGCTTTTGTTTCAAAATTCGAAGACATGTTTTTTTTAATTTTTTTAAGGAGAATATCTGGTGGCAAGCCACGGTTACATGCCTCTTCCAGACCTAAAAAGACTCTGGGGAGACATGTTTTAATGCAAGCTTTCCTTAATCTGTTAAACACTATTTACACATTCAGCCCCAACACACAAATGTGGCTTTTCAAGTTAGCACAAACTTCGTAGAAAATGTTTATTGAGAAGTAGGGTAAGTTTCCAATAGGAGTGCCAATGGATTGGATTTTAACCAGAATCCGATGTAATGTTCTATTGTTTAGACACGATATGTATAATTCTTTGAGTTCAAACAACCATTTTTGACCAGAATCCACTTAACTAGATACAGTTTAATGATATTCTTATTCATTTGTAATTTGAGAGATTTTAAATACGAATTTTGTTAAATAATGAGTTCGATCCCAATATATTTCTTCACCCTTTAATGTAAATATATCGTTGTGTAAACAAAAACCAATCCCAATTATATTGAATTTAACAAATCCGATTACCGACAAAAAAATTACCTAAAAACAGTTTTAATCTTTGTCATCATTAACCTCTCCATCAAAATTTTGTTAAAACATTATTGATATCAGCATAAATCTAAGTTCAATGCTATTTTAGTCCACTGAGCAAAAAATAATTAACATAAATATAATAAATGTATAACAATTTGGTAAATTAACACTAGCCTCTTGAAAATTGGCCTTTTTATGTTAATTTGTTTTTAGATTTATATTAAACTACGTGGTTTTTTTTAATTAAATTAGATTTTAAGTTCATTCAAAATGTTATGAATGTACTATTTTGTCCGTCATCAATTAAATGGTAATGTTTTGAATTTCTAAAAAATGGATGGTATTTTTGATATTTCAAATGTTTCACCATTTTGTTGCTCTCACTTTATATATAGAGAAAAAAAAAGTGATAAATTTGCTGTATTTAAGGGTAATCAAGTAGTAGTGAACACTTTGGCAAAACATGATGCTATGAGCTTTAGTTTTTCTTGGTGAGATTCACCTCCTGTTTTTGTTTCTCCTTTTTGTGATAGATATTGGTTGGGCGGTGCTAAATAATTGATGCTAAATTGGCACATTTTAAAATATTAGGAGGGTTTATAAGTGCATATTGTTGTTATTCTAGTCCAATGTTTGTAATAATTCCTAAAATTTAGTATGAGTTGTCTCTAGTCTCGTCATATGTGAGTTTGATGATTTCACTATAGGCTAGTTTCCTCGTTGGGTTGTCGATCTGGTGGTTCACCAAAGTATCGGAGGTGACCTGCTTGTGGTCGATGTACTGTTAAATAATGCTAGCTTTGGGATTATATATAAGATAATTTGTTGATGTAGAACAAATGGTGGAATGGATCGAGGAGGAGATGGAACGTCGAAAGACAAAAGGACGCAATCATAAAAGGGGTGTTAATTTCCCATAAAAGTGGCTCAAGCCACTTTTCGCAGAAACTTGTTAAAATAATTCTCCTACAAAAGTGGCTTGAGCCATCTTTTGCAGAAAGTCATCAAGACAACAGCCTACTAATAAATGGAGTCTTTTGGGGTTTCAAGGGCTTTATTATATGTTAGTTATTTTCATTTTAATTCCCTAAGTCTTTTGAGTTTCCCAAAAGGTTGTAAAAGGCTTATTTAAGCCATGGCTTTGTAATCATTTAGACATCTTTCAAGCAATTAATCAAATTATCCTTTGGGTTTCTATCAACTGGTGGACTCCAGTAACTTTGTTCTACAAGGGATTACGCTGGTAACCCTTTCATTGCTTCGTGCTGTGTCAATTGGTACCAGAGCGGGTTCCTCCCGTCTTGGCATCGTTGATTATCCTATCTATCCATGGGTGATCGTGATCGTGAACCTGCTCCTATCACTCGAGCAGACTTGGATGCTCAAGCTGAACATATTACAAACTTGACTACTCAAATTGGAGAACTTCGTGAGATGTTGGTCCAAGCCATCGGTCCAAATAATCATAGAGCTGCTGGAGTCAATAATCTGCGAATTCCTAGGCTCCGTGTTCAAGACAGCGAATCGGAGTCCGAAGAAGAAGATGTGGAACCACACCCAGCTAACAATCCATATCATCAAAACCGCAACAACTTTGATGACTTTCGGATTAAGGCCGACATTCCAACTTTTGCGGGAAACCTTAAAATCGAAGATTTCCTGGATTGGCTAGTTGAAGTAGAAAGATTCTTTGATGTCATGGAGGTTCCCGAAACAAAGATGGTGAAGATGGTGGCCTTCCGTCTCAAAGCAACTGCTGCTGTTTGGTGGGATCAATTACAAAATACCCGGCAGAGGCAAGGAAAGAATCGAATCCGCACTTGGAGAAAAATGAAGCAACTCTTGATGGATCGTTTCTTACCTGCGTCCAAGGCAATAGAAACGTGACTGATTATACGGATGATTTCATGAGACTTGCGGAGAGAAACAATCTGATGGAGACAGAAAATCAAAGGGTTGCAAGGTTCGTGAATGGATTGAAACCCTCCATTCAAGAAAAGATTGGGCTGCAAAATCTATGGAGTTTGCAAGAGGCCATTAACATGGCCTTGAATGCGGAGATAATAGAGAAAGAAAGGTTACAAACCTCTTTCCGGAGGAATGTGACGGAGCATTTTGAAAACCCTGTTGTCTCGTCCACCGACAAAGGGAAATCTGTGCCACAAAGTTAGGGAGAATTGAAACCTTCAAGTTTTCCTTCTCGAGTGTCAAATGAAGGGAGTAGCAAAACTTTTAACAAGGGGCAGAATAGAAACCAACCTCCAAGGGATATTCCGTATGCCAAGCCTATGGGAGACATTTGTTATCGTTGCAACAAAATTGGGCATCGATCTAACGTTTGTCCTGAATGGAGACAAGCCAACTTGTTGGATGCTGAAAGGGACCAAGAAGAAGTTGGTGATGACGACTATGAAGGCGTTGAATTCGCAAATGAAGAAGGAATGGATCACCTCGTTTTGGTGTTGCAACGGGTTCTTTTAACACCAAAAAAGGATGGGCAACGACATTGCATTTTTCGTTCTCTTTGCTCCATCAACAGCAAAGTTTGCGAAGTGATTGTAGACAATGGAAGTTGTGAAAATTTTGTGGCCAAGAAAGTGGTGGAGCGTTTACAACCAACGAAGCCTCATCTCACCCCATACTCACTTGGATGGGTGAAGAAAGGACCTTCCGTCTATGTCACAGAAACTTGCCGTGTCCCACTTTCCATTGGTAAGCATTACCGTGATGAAGTACTTTGTGATGTTATTGATATGGATGCTTGTCATATACTATTAGGGAGACCGTGGCAGTTTGATGTGGATTCGACATTGAATGGTCGAGATAATGTGGTGTTATTTACTTGGAATAATCAGAAGATTGTGATGGCTCATGTTTCGCCCTCTGAAGTACCAAAAGCAAAGAATACTAGTTTCCTCACTCTAATTAGTGATAAGCAGGAGATTGAAGGGGCCATAAAAGAAGTAGATTCTTTCTTTTCGATCCTGATGAAGAGACTATTGACAGAAAACAAAGAAGAGGAACAAATCTCTTTAGAAGTGCAACAATTATTGGAGGAATTTCATGAACTCATTTCTGACGAGTTGCCTAACGAGCTTCCTCCCATGAGGAACATCCAACATCAAATTGATTTGGTACCTGGAGCTAGCCTACCAAATCTTCCCCATTATCGAATGAGCCCTGCAGAAAATGAGATTTTGAGGGAACAAATTGAAGACTTGCTGCGAAAGGGGTTTATCCGAGAAAGTATGAGCCCTTGTGCAGTACCTGCCCTATTGGTTCCAAAGAAAGACAAGGAAAAGAAAAAGGCATGGCGTATGTGTGTAGACAACCGAGCTATTAACCGAATCACCATCAAATACAGATTTCCAATACCTCAGTTAGATGACATGTTAGATGTGCTTGAAGGTTCGAAATTATTTTCAAAAATTGACCTTCGCAATGGCTACCATCAAATTCGAATCAGGCCTGGAGATGAGTGGAAAACAGCGTTCAAGAGCAAAGATGGACTGTTCGAGTGGCTAGTGATGCCATTTGGATTGTCTAATGCGCCGAGTACCTTCATGAGGCTTATGAATCAGGTTCTTCGTCCCTTTATTGGTCTCTTTGTTGTGGTTTACTTTGATGACATCTTAATCTATAGCAAGACCAGAGAAGAACACATGATGCATTTGAGACACATTTTGGGTGTTTTGAAAGAAAATAAATTGTATATGAATATCAAGAAATGCATATTTTGTACAAGTAAATTGCTATTTCTAGGATTTGTGGTTGGTGAAAATGGTATTCAGGTGGATGATGAGAAGACTAAGGCCATCCGAGAATGGCCAACTCCGAAGTCCGTCTCCGACGTGAGGAGTTTCCATGGCTTGGCTACTTTTTATCGGAGATTTGTGCGGCATTTTAGCACCATCACCGCACCCATTACAGAATGTTTGAAGAAAGGCAAGTTTTGTTGGGGAGATGAACAAGAACAAAGCTTTGTTTTGATCAAAGAGAAGCTTTGTACTGCTCCAGTGTTAGCTCTTCCAAATTTTGAGAAAGTATTTGAAGTTGAATGTGATGCAAGTGGAGTGGGAGTGGGTGCTGTCCTTTCCCAAGAGAAGAGACCTATAGCTTTTTTCTTTGAAAAGCTAAGTGAAGCCCGTAAAAAATGGAGCACTTATGATCAGGAGTTTTATGCGGTGATTCGAGCTCTAAAACAATGGGAACACTATCTCATTCATAAAGAATTTGTGCTATTCACGGATCATCAAGCCTTGAAGTTTATTAACAATAAGAAGCATGTTAATAAAATGCATATCAGATGGGTAACGTTCTTGCAAAAATTTCCATTTGTTATCAAGCACAAATCTGGAGCTCAAAACCGTGTTGCCAATGCCTTGAGTAGACGAGCATCATTGCTAATCACTCTTTCCCAAGAAGTTGTGGGTTTCGAGTGCTTAAAGGAGTTGTATGCAACCGATGATGATTTTCAGGAAATATGGAGGAAATGCATTAATCATGAACCTATGGCAGATTACTCTATCAACGAAGGTTTTCTGTTCAAAGGTAACCAATTACGTGTTCCTGTCTCTTCCTTGCGGGAAAAGCTTCTTCGAGATTTGCATGGAGGAGGATTAAGCGGTCATCTTGGTCGTGACAAGACAATAACAAGTTTGGAAGAAAGGTACTTTTGGCCACAATTAAAACGGGATGTTGGAGCCATTGTGAGGAAGTGTTACACTTGTCAGGTTTCAAAGGGGCAAGTCCAAAATATGGGCCTTTACATGCCTTTACCCGTTCCTAACGCAAAGAGGAGTGGATTCAGTTTTTGTGGTGGTTGACAGGTTCTCCAAGATGGCTCATTTCATTGCTTGTAGAAAGACCGCTGATTCATCAAACATAGCCAAACTGTTTTTCAGGGAGGTTGTTCGATTGCATGGGGTACCTAAGTCCATCACTTCTGATCGAGACACCAAGTTCTTGAGTCATTTCTGGATTACATTATGGAGAATGTTTGGGACTACTTTGAATCGAAGTACTACTGCATATCCCCAAACTGATGGACAAACAGAGGTCACAAATAGGACTCTTGGTAACATGGTTCGAAGCATTTGTGGAAACAAAACAAAACAATGGGACTATGCCCTACCTCAGATGAAGTTTGCTTATAATAGTGTTGTGCATCGTGCTACTAGAAAGTCACCATTTTCTATTGTTTACACTGCCACTCCTCATCACGTGGTGGATTTGGTGAAGCTATCTAGGGGACATGAACTTAGCATTGCTGCAGAAAATATGGCTGAAGATGTGGTGGCAATTCGTGATAAGGTCAAGCAACGGCTTGAACAAACCAATATTAAGTATAAGGAAGCAGTGGACAAACATCGGCGGGTTAAAGTGTTTAAGGAAGGAGATTCTGTCATGGTGTTCCTGAGAAGAGAACGATTCCCCGTTGGAACTTACAGCAAGTTAAAGCCACGAAAGTATGGTCCATTCAAAGTTATCAAGCGAATTAATGACAATGCCTATGTTATTGATTTGCCGGAGTCTATGGGAATTTCCAATACTTTCAACGTTGCTGATTTGTATACCTTCAATGATGATGAAGTTCTTTATCCTGATCATAACTCGGGGTCGAGTTCTTTTGAAGTGGAAGGGACTAATGTAGAACAAATGATGGAATGGATCGAGGAGGAGATGGAACGTCAGAAGACAAAAGGACACAATCATAAAAGGGGTGTTAATTTCCCATAAAAGTGGCTTGAGCCACTTTTCGCAGAAACTTGTTAAAATAATTCTCCTATTATGGGAAATTAACACCCCTTTTATGATTGCGTCCTTTTGTCTTCCGACGTTCTATCTCCTCCTCGATCCATTCCACCATTTGTTCTACATCATTTGTAGTCGCTATGTCTTTTTATGCATATATAGTCCAGATGAAATCATGATATTTTACGATCTCATAATTGGTGTGAGAGCTTTCATCTCTCATGTGATCTTGTAGCACTAGGTTATTGGTTCCTAAATATCCTCCGTCTCTTTCAGCTTTTTGTTACATCTGGAATTATTATTAGTGTAGTTTCAGATTTTTGTTTTTAAGCCCTCCTATTAAAGTCTTGTTCTTCTGGTATTGAATCCTATATTCTGCCCTATCATGAATAAAAAATGTCATTTTTCTTAAGTAAAAAAAAGTCAACATAGTCTACATATAATAAACCACATGTTTTTCTCGTTTGTTTACATGATTGATCGTGTTCTTGTTTATTAACTCCTTCATCTTTGCTTCTCATTATTTTCTTGCATATTTTGATCTAAAATTTTAATATGGGGATTTGGACTCCATGATCTCACAAAATAACAAGACAATGATGTGTGAGAAGATTTAATTGTTTAGAGCATTACAATCCTTGAGAAACTTTTTTTTTTGTGCTAAATTAAAAACAACATCATTATGATCATAAGTAAAAGAAGAAAAAAAGCACTTTCCCACCTGGAGAAAAGAAAAATCTCTTTTATCTATTCACTTGTCATGCTTTAATTGATTCTTAGTTATAAAATTCTTTCGAGATTCTACAGAGTAAATGAGGTTTTCTCTAAGGTATTGAGTTTGAACTTTGAAGTGTTTATGTCTAAAGTGTGAGTTATCAAGGACTTGTGTACGAAGAAACCTTACGGTAATGAATACTCTAACTTCACACCTCTGAAAATGAAACCTAGCAGAAACAACAAACTTTAAACCATTCCGTAGCCGGCCTCCAACTCCCGCTTGGGGCCGGTGGCAGCCACCCTTTCAATTTTCGTTTTTATCCTCCTCCCTCTTGCGTCCTCGCACTGCAATGGCCTTGGTTCCCGATGTGGAGGAGATCTATCTCCAGGCGTTTTGTCATTCCCCGCAACTACAATTGTCCCGATCCCCTTCAAGGATCAGTGGAGCAACCTGCCACCTACTGGTGGTGTGGACGGAACTCTGTTTTCGGGTTTTGTTCCATGTTTCAAGGTCCTACTCCTCTGATTTGGGGTTTTTGGGATCAAATTTGGGGTTCTTGGGGTCGACTTTGGGGCTCTGCACTTAACACCTCCAATGCTTCAAATTTGCTATCCAATTCCTCATACCCGCCATTGCCTTCCACTCCAATTTTGGGGTATTTCATCTCATCTCTTGTTTGTTGCTTCCAGTCAAAGACAACTATATGTTGTCACTCCTACAAAGGTCTGGTATCTCTTTAGAATGGTACCTGACCTTTTTGGTTACTGATTGGTTTAGGGCATTGGCTTGCCTTTTATGTGTTTGTGTTTGTCTGAGGACTGGATTTATGGCATCTGGAATAGGTTCAGTTCTTCCTGATCTGCAGTTTGGGCTCTTTTTCATTAGCGTTGAAGCATTGGTGGGTTTTGTTATTGCACTATGTGGTGATATCCCTCGGTTTTTCTGTTCGCTGGTCGTCTCCGTCATTTCTGTGGCGATAGAGGTAGCGGGTGATTCTCATCTTACGGTTATTAGATTTTTCAATAGGGTCACTTTTGGGCCTCTTCGGGTGGGCCTTCACTTTTGGGCCGAGCCACATTGTTTGTAATTTTTTATGCTTTAGGTATAAACGGAAACCTTAACTCATGCAATGAATGCATAAGTGATGTCTCATTTGTACCTACCCCATTTATGAGGCTATTGTCTTTGTATTGGGTTAGTTTGGACTTTGTAATAAAATTCCTACTTGACCACAAAATTTGAGGGGCAGTAATTTTCAAAATTTGACTTAATGTGGGGGTGAAATTGGATATACAGGAAATGACTATTGGGTGGAAAATTGTGGTGGGTACAATAATTGGATTTCTAGGGTCTGCTTTTGGTACTGTAGGTGGAGTTGGTGGGGGTGGCATTTTTGTTCCAATGCTCACCTTGATTATTGGATTTGATCAGAAATCATCAACAGCTATATCAAAGTGTAAGGCCTTGCAACTTTCTCATTATTGTTCTTTCCTTTTGAGTTTTCACCTGCCGCATATTCCTCATACTTTCCACAATTTATCATTTAAGGAACTATTATTGGTACTCCAAAAATCTAATTGTGCCCTCCTTATAAAAGCATTTTTCTTTCTAAATATAGAAATTTAGTTTTATACTAATAGAATCTTCATGCAATATTGAAACCAAATCTATTATCCCTCAAGTTAAGTTGCTAGGAAATTCATTAGTTAACAATGTATGCCAAGCTAACACCCTTTGATGTGCAACCCCATCCTGCACGTGAGAGTTGATGACGAATAGAAACATGTTGGTTCTTTAATACCTGGTAGCGACAACCATTAGACAACAAAAGCTTCAGATGTTTCGAATGAGCCAGCAATGTCAACACCAATCTAATAATTTCAATTAGATTCATTAATGTTTCGTTTTGCCAAATGATAGGTGTGGAATTTTCTTATGCACTTCTAATCCATAAACTTGATGGATATGAAAATTTTCTACATTTTCCTTTCGAATGTAACTGAATACAATTTCGAGTGCTTGTGTGGTTGGTCAGGTATGATCACAGGTGCTGCAATTTCATCTGTGTTCTACAATCTAAGGCTAAGGCATCCGACACTTGATCTCCCCCTCATCGACTATGACTTGGCACTTCTTTTCCAACCAATGCTTGTGCTTGGGATCAGTATTGGAGTTGCTTTCAATGTCATATTTGCTAACTGGATGATCACAGTGTTATTAATCATTACTTTCTTAGGTAAGAATCATAGGAAACTATGAATTCATTAGTTTCATCAACTGGACAACTTCTTCGATTCGTATAGTGATCAGATTTTGATGACAGCCACATCAAGTAGGGCATTCTTCAAGGGCATTGAGACATGGAAAAAAGAAACTATAGTAAAGGTCATCTTAATTTTGTTAGTTCAATTTGTACATATGAGACATAATTTAATTCATCCCTGCATCTTGGCTCAACTAGTTTTCAAATTTTCAGGAGGCTGCTAGACGGATGCAGTCAAATTGTAAGTTGATCATCATATTTTTCTTTGTTAGCATTAGCCTTGCACCAATTCAAATTAGATGCCGGAAATTTTTTTTATGCAGGTGATGATGCTAGTGCAGAAGTTGAGTACAAGCCTCTACCCGGTGGCCCAAGCAATGGCACTCCAACAGAAACCGGGGAATCCAAAAGAACAGAGGTAGGATTCCTTGCGGCCTGAGATTTCCTTGATGCATGGTTTTAGAGACTGACATTCTTTAACCTTCTCAGGTTTCTATCTTTGAGAATCTTTACTGGAAGGAACTTCTGATTCTTTTTGCTGTCTGGATTATAATTCTTGTATTGCAGATCGCTAAGGTAATACCTACAATGTCGATGGTTTTCGTTATAAGATCACGATTTGTACTTCCCTTTGCTTCTATTTTATGCGTTGAATCTGATATTTCAGAAACTTGTCTGTTGACGCAGAATTATACCACAACTTGTTCAGCTGCATATTGGGCATATAATCTCTTGCAGGTACCTACCCTTCATGTCCCTTATAATTAGAAGAAACCATAAGTCTTCATTTTCCATTTTTTTCGTGCTTCAAACACTATGATCATTTTCGTGCTTCAAACACGATGATCATTTGTGCTTGAACTAATGATTTTTTATTTTTTTATTTTGGTTCAAAACCGTGATATTTGTTTGGCATTATTTTTTCCTCAAATGAATTCTTAGATCCCCGTGGCTTTCGGAGTAACTATATTCGAGGCAGTTAAACTGTACAAAGGACATAGAGTGATTGCGTCCCGGGCAGAATCAAACACAAATTGGACAGTAAACCAGCTTGTTCTTTGTAGTGCCTGTGGTATCACAGCCGGTATAGTTGGTGGATTGCTTGGTCTTGGTGGAGGGTTCATTTTAGGTCCTGTTTTTCTGGAGCTAGGAATCCCACCTCAGGTGAATTTTATACTTGTGGAGTAGCTGATTTCATATTTACTGAATTTACTGATTCCGGTTCAATTCAAAAACTTGAAATACATATTATTATAGACGGAAGATCATTGAGGTCAGTTTTAACCGTAAAACACAACGAGAAGTGCGAAAACCTCACTTAGAACAGCTACGAATTTTACACACAGCAGCATGATTTTCACTTTCCCTAGTCAAAACTGGCTCATTGATTGAGAACTTTGATGCAGGTCTCAAGTGCCACAGCCACATTTGCCATGACATTTTCCGCCTCCATGTCTGTTGTAGAATACTACCTCCTAAAACGATTTCCGATTCCTTATGGTAATCGTCTTAGCCATCCAAGTTTCTGCCAATAAAAATAAAAAATTGAATGGTAGGGAGAGGAAATTTGTTTATTTATTTTTCAATAATTTGATGTTGGCTTAAAAATTTCTCATGCAGCTCTCTACTTTACTGCTGTGGCCACATTTTCAGCCCTAGTAGGGCAATATGTGGTGAGAAAGGTAGTCAGTATTTTTGGGAGAGCATCTATAATTATCTTCATTCTTGCCTTCACAATCTTTGTGAGTGCAATATCACTAGGTATGTATTACTGCCCGTGAAATCGATTCTGTCTTTTTATTTTCCACTTAGTGATAAATGGGTGCTAATTTGCTCTTAATTTCACAGGTGGAGTTGGAATAGCAGATATGATTGAAAAGATTAAGCACAAAGAGTACATGGGATTTGAAAACATCTGCACTTATGATGCCTAGTTTTGGTAACTTCTTCTGCCTTCACTTCTCCCCATCTCATATGCGGTATGTAGGTAGGAGGGAAGAGAAATGAACTGTCCTCCCTACTCTTTCAAGTTTCAAGTGCACTCTTCCCTTGCATGATAAGTTAGCGAATTTCCATTCTTGAGCAGCAATTTTGCTCATTTAGAAGACAATTTTTTTTAATTTGGTTCGTATGTTCTTCCTAATGACGTATGGCATTTGTGTTAAATAATTCATTTGTTATATAAGGAGAAATAGAACTGATGAATTTCCTAATTTGATCTCTAGCAACTTCCTTGATGGATGTGATTTCCTGAAACTAGAGAAAGCATCTTGTATCCTTTTATATTTATAGAGGATGTGGACTAAACATTGAAGAGGCCGGGCATATATAGAATGTGAACCAACCTCGGGAACAGAGAATTCTACCATGCAACCCGTAATGGATCCCATTTTCTCTTTATCTCTCATGTCACTTGATCAAGTCAAAATCACAACATACAAGAATTTACCAATTCAGTATTGGGAAAGGTTTTAAAAGATGTTAGGCGCTAGTCGGACGGCGAGTTAGGACCTAGCGCGTAGACGGATTTAAGTAAATTTATTATATATTGTATAAATAAGTGTTCATTTATACTTGAAAAACACACATAATTGTATTAGAATATATAAATTGCAAAACAAAATGACATACAAGTTATAAAGTATTAGAACATGTTGAAAACATGGAAAAAAAATTAAAGTGCAAAATTAAAGTTATCAATTTTCTATCTAAGTGAGAATCGTGATGCATCACTAGCGACATTACAAATGGGAATGGGAGATATCAACCAAATGGGGAAGGGGTTGTGTACTTCAATTGATTAGCAGGACTATATATCTTTAATCTGGATCTCCCAAAAGAATATATAGAAAGCTCCACCACTTTCCTTCTTAAAGAGGCCAAATTACTAAATCAAGTCGCCACTCACCAAAAGATTATACACAAAAAGAAAAAGTATATATACACACAGAGATATGTATACGTATACATACGGTACATGTTATGTTTCACGGTCCACCACAAAGAAAATGAAGATTATTGCGTTGATATCGATGTAATAACAATAATGACATTATCAACAACATATCAAGATGATACTGCTATTATGGGGCCACTTGTTACAATAATATTGCTATTTGAAAATATCGTTACAATAGCAGTGCTTGAGCCTTTCCTAAGTAATTAACCACTTGTTAGGATGCAAACCTCTATTTTCTATTTAATTAAATCATCTTGAAAGACAGTTGTTTCTATTAATCTTACTGCAAAGCACATTATCCTATTCATATTTCATCACAAGTTTTCTTGGAAATTATTAGATACCTTAAAAATCCTCCTTATTTCATGTAAATGCACGTAGGAAGTGCAATAAGCACCTTCATCATGTTATTCTCGTCATCCATGTCAGTGGTAGAATACTACCTCCTAAAGCGATTTCCAATTCCCTACGGTAAATTTCTCAGCCCTTCCAGTTTACCTTCATAATTAAATTGATGACTACAAGTGTTTAGTTAGAAGGCAATTTCTATCTTCAAATAATCGTAAATGTCGGCTTCTTTCGTTACAATTCTTCAACTTGCAGCTCTCTATTTCGCTGCTGTGGCTGTGGTTTCTGCGATAGGGCAACATGTGGTACGAAAGGTGATTAAGGCAATAGGAAGAGCATCCTTGATCATCTTCATTCTTGACTTCACAATTTTTGTGAGCGCACTGACATTAGGTATGTTAATGCGCCCTTATATTTTTGTAAGGACTTACATGCATGAAACAGGACGCCAAAGTGACAGTGTCCCAGTTTGAAAGCTTAATAACATGTGATTGGTTTGAAATACTGTTACTTTTTAGCGCCCCGTTTCATGTGCTCTCTCCATTTTCACAAATGCAGCCACTGTTTCATGGATTTTCTGTTAATCACATGGCTAATTTGGCATAGCAAATTTGGTCAAAAAGATTGAGCACAAGGAGTACTCTTGGGTTTTGAGAGCACGTGCACAACTCAAAAACCCTAATCCTCAAAATTCTTCACCCTTCTAATCATATACGGGATAATACTATTAGTGTTAATAAAAGTTACAATTAATAATGATTCCTGTGAATGAAACAAAATACAAGTAATAGGAAAGGAGTCACCAAAGTTATAGAAGAGTTGGTTGAGCCGTGGAGTCCTTAAAGTCAATTCCGCGCCCTCTAAAAAAGGTTCGACGTTGCAAAAGGTTAATGCGTGTACGACCTGCAGGATTCAACAACTTATTTTGTTAGACGTGCACTCGTAATAGCAAAACTATTTGAGCCAAAGGCAAAAATCCTCAAGGCTAGATATTTCCCTAACGGTTCTTTTCTTGATGCTATTCGTGGGGGAAGGGCGTCCTGGGGCTGGTCCAGTTTACTTGTTGGTCGCGAAGTTCTCTTGCAGGGAGCCCATTGGCAAATAATGAATGGTAGTACGACCCGTGTGTGGATGGACAGGTGGATTCCCTCTATCCCTGAGGGACATCCATTGCCGATTTCAGCGGTTCCGGTGTCCAGGAATCTGAGAGTGGGTACTCTCATCAGTGACTCTTCGGGTACTTGGGACCTGGACTTCCTTCAGCCTTTCATTTCTCCTGAGGACTTTTCCGCAATCCTGGATACTTGTATTGGTGACCCATTATTGGAGGATCGGCTTGTTTGGCCGGGTACTAGAAATGGGATTTATATTGTGAAGTCAGGATATCACTGGAAGAAAGCTTGCTCGATGCCCTTTACTGGTCGCGGCACCTCCTCCTCCTACTCAATTCATTCTAAGGTTTGGAAAGCTATATGGAAATTGGCGACTCCTCCTAAGATTCGTAATTTTATGTGGAGGGCGTTACATCGTGCCCTTGCTACCATGGATGTGCTGTTTATCCGTCGCTGCTCCCCTTCCCCACTTTGCCCTATTTGCCATGCTCAAGAGGAATCTGTGGAACACTTGTTCTTTTTGTGCCCGTGGGTTGAGCCCATTTGGTTTGGTGGCAGCTTAAGCTATAGGGTGAACAGGGAAAGCTTTTCTTCTTTGGCTGCTTGGCTGGCTTCTTTCTTCGAGGCCCAGTTGGGGTCTAAGGATGAAATAATGCGGCTCCTGTCCTATGTAGCATTTACTTGCTGGCATATTTGGAAGGCCAGGTGTGCTCTTATTTTCAATCAAAAGAAACCATCACCTCAGCAGCTCATTTTGGCTATTTCAAACTCTGTTGGATCTTTTTTGGAGGCCTCTTGTGCGCCTATGGGTCTTGTCCGGTCCTCTCCTCCTGTTTCTCCCTCTTTGGATCGTTGGTCCCCTCCGTATGCCCCTTTCTGGAAAGTGAATGTGGATGCCAGTTGGACAATGTTATCAAAAAGGGGGTTTGCTGGAGTGGTTATTCGGGACCATAAGGGCTGCTTTGTGGCGGCTCAGAGGATGGAAATTTTGGCAGCTAATGCTGAAGCGGCGGCGGCTTATGCAATTCTCTGTGGTTGTGAAGTGGCTGTTTCGTTGGGATTGCCTCAGGTAATTTTGGAATCGGATTCGAAGGAGAATATTTCTATTCTGGAGAAGGCGACTTCTTCTGGCAGTTGGGAGGCTTTTCCCATTCGGGCAAAGATTCGTCGGATTGCGGAATCCTTCCAATGTTGCCGCTGGTCTTGGGTTACGAGATCGGCCAACATGACGGCGCACTGTTTGGCGTCAAGAAGAAATACGGAGATGTGCGGTCTAACCTGGATTAACACTCCTCCATCTTCGTTGGTGCATGTTTTGAACAAAGATGGGCTTCCTTGCCCCCCTTAACATTCCTTTTTGGTTCCCTGCAGTGGAGGAGGCGACATCTAGCTCTTGGGGCAGCGTCTGTTGGTGTTTGTACCCTCCTCCTCTGCTTTGTGTCTGTTGTTTCCTTTGTTGCTCCTCTGTGTGGGCTTCCTGTTCTCTTTGGCTTTGGCCCTGGTTTTGAATTAAATCAGTTTCTTCAAAAAAAAAAAAAAAAAAAAAAAGAGAACACCCATCAGCAAAAAAGATTTAAACGTGTAGATAGAAAATAAAGAGGTTTTTCAAGTGTCTTAGGGCTGGTTTGGTATTGCTGTGCTTTAAAAAAAAACTGCTGTGAGAATAAGCGGCTGTGCTGTGAGAATAAGTAGCCGTGAAAAAAATAAGCAAAGTGTTTGGTAAACTTTTTTGTAAAAGTGCTTTTGAAAAAAAAAACAGTCTGATAGTGGGCCTTTTCATTAAAGAAGCACTGTAGCTCCGTGTGCTTTAAAAAAAAGCTAGTTTTCCAAAGCTACAAATAGAAGCTTCAACTTTTTCCTTTGATTTCAGCTTATTCTCACAGCAACCTCCAAAATAAGCCTTTTTTTTCAGTTTACCAAACATTTAAGACCCTCACAGTTTTTTTTCATGAGTGTTTTTTTTTTAAGCACCTCTCACTCCCAAACCACCCCTTAGTGTATCAAAATATGAGGGGGCTGCTGTTTTTATATTCATCAAACTAAAACATTGTAAACTCCAGCTTTCAAGTATCATTGAATTGCAAATTACTAGAGGCTAAAGTTGAGGAAATTTTGGCACTATTCATAAGCTACACTGAAATTAGGCTGATTTTGATATATTTACTGTTTTGCCTTTGCTCTTTTGGGCCTGATGTGGCCTTCCGCTTTGGTTAGGGAACGCCTGCACAGGCGTGCTAGCGAGATTTCTCTACAGTCTGCTCCGCTTCTTTCCTCTGTGGTATGCACCGGTTCATTCTTGCTCCACTTCGAATCGAAACTGAATACTGCTCATCCAAATTTTCTCACCCTTACTATGTTTTTGAATAGATATTGAAATTAGGGATTTGGTGAAGGAAGGAAGGTGAAGATTTGGAGAATATTTAAGAAGACATTCAAATCATCTAGCCGTTGAACACAAACCGGCTACCCTTGGGATCAATGAATCTGATAATTAGAATCAGCGAAGAATATTAAAGGTAATTTCTTGTTTTTTCGTGTACACACAATAGACAAAAAGTTTCATCATTGTGAGCTTTATGGCACGGTACTCAAGACCACACATCTGAATCCAAAACGTCTCCACTACTGTCCAAGCATGGGATCACCACACAAAAAAAAGAAGACTAAATGGTACATATTCTAACTTACTCCGAAAGACATGGTCTTTGGATAACTATCCATCCTTAAGGAGAACAGCTTGCCTTTCAGATACATAGTAAAGGGCAACTGTGGGACCATGATTTTCTAGGTCAGAGTGAGACTGATTTGAATATAGTTACCTTAGAAGTCCAGTTAAATGGAGCATTGGTGCCAACATCACCCTGCTCCGGGGCAATAAGCTAAGTCCGAACGACTCCGTTAGAATGATCATGTTTGTTCTGCAAGACACGAGATATGATCCGGATATGAACTCAATCAGATCTTTCATAAGTCTTGGAGTTCCTACAATCTAATAATTGGCGTGGGCCGCAAGTAATCACAATTCCTAAGAGGG